CATAATAAATAGCTTGTCATCCAGAGTTCTGTGTAAGTTGGGTAAGTGTGTTTGCAACTAATGAAGGTTTTAAATTTGTATGATTTGAGGAAGTGGTAGCCTGCATCTTGGGTAAAAGTTTAAAATACTGTGGTCTGTTGTAAATAAGTGAAGAAATATATGGTCTAGATGTTGAGATTACTGGGATAAAGGTTTTTAACAGTTTATGGTTTGAGGGAATGGTAGCCTGCATATTGGGTAAAGGTTTAAAATACTGTGGTCTGTTGAAACTGTGTTATGAAAAAATGTTATGAAAAATATAGATTATAGCTGTTATTACCATGAATAAGAGAGCAGGGCTAATTAAATCTGAGTTACACAGGTGTGTATGTCTTTCACATTGTAGAATGACATGCTAAACTTCTTTTTTTTGTTGGTATACTGTCAAACTTTTTTTTAGTATTATTACAAATGCTCCAGTTATCCATAAATAAATTTTGTGGTAAGACTGGCTATAACATAGATATTTGTTAAATATTCAAAATCAATACGAAGACAAAAATACAAAATGAAATCTGTGGAACTAACCACAGATTTTAGCCATAAATTCACAGAATACCAGCTAAAGAAAAATCCATTAGTCTGCTTTGTAAGGTGTTTAAAATATATATACATGTGCAGTAAATACATACAGCTTGTACACATTTGTGCAAGTTATTTTTATTGACTTAGATATTTTTTTGTTGTTGTTGTTGTCAAAATGTTAACTGTATTTGCACATACATTTGACTGTGATATCTGCATTTTTTATTGTAAGCAAAATCATATTCCATGTCAAGAGTACAGATGAAAACTGAAAAATTTATTGCATTTATATAAGTAGGAATTTATTACATTTTCTTATTTTTGAATTGAGGCATTGATCTCAGCAATGCCATCTTTTTGTGGCAATTAAGAGAGCATATATTTACTTAGTGTATAAAGTATTTATTGAGTAAGATTTTAATTTTTTGTAGTTGGTGCTGTTAATATTTTAAAAATTTTGGTTAAAGGAAAAAAGACAATTATCAGCATTACCATATATTTTGAATTTAGAACTTGTATACTGTATATTTAAATACAAATCTTTTTTATAATATTCTTGTATCCTACCTAGTATTACATCATTGGTAAAGAAGACAAGTAAAGAATAGTACAATAAATGAATTTACCAGCTAGCACTCTTGGAACACCTTGCCAACCAAGAATTAACAGATTCCTATTTTTAACAATACTAGACAAATTATAGCTCAAGTTGAAGTCTAATTTCCTTTAAGATCACTTTCCATGAGGGCAAAACAACTTGCTGATGTAATATTATCATTATTGATGAAATTAAGACATGTACAACATCTGGGTATCTCTATTGCAGATGTTTCACCAGCCAGTGGCTTTATCAATACAATTTCTAGGACATAATGCTCTTCACACCAGCTCCAAGGGTGAGGAATTGATTACCTCATCTTTTGTATATACAGTGGAACGTCAATTTTTGTATGCCCTAGTTTTTGTACGATTTGGTTTTCGACGACATTTTTCATTGAAATTGTCCCAGTTTTCGTACATCCACTCGGTTTTTGTACAGTTGAAAATGGCCCATACCAAACTCGTCTGCCTGCCCGCGTGACTCGGCCACTCATTTCCTGGTATCGAGCGCCCACACAAAGCATCCCATGCGTTCGTGATTTTGAAGGGGTTGAGGCAGACCCTGACAACTCTATGCCTGTTGTGGAATCTATTGTGTCTTTGGGGAAGTCCATGGGGTTGGATGTGGAAGAGTTGGTGGACGACCACAGGGAAGAGCTAACCACTGAAGAGCTGCAAGACCTTCAACTGGAACAGCAACAGATCACAGCTGAGGAAATTGCTTCAGAGAAGGAGGAAGATTATTATTATTATAATCAAGGGGGAAGCGCTAAACCCGGAGGATTATACAGCAGAAGGAGGAAGAGAGAGGGGAGAATGTGCCTTCTTCAGTGATTAAGGACATGTGTGCAAAGTGGAATGAGTTGCAAAAGTTTGTGGAGAAATATCACCATAACAAAGCTGTTGCAAGTCGTGTCTACAGCATGTTCAATGACAATGCCTTGTCCCATTTTAGACAAATCTTAAAGAGATGCCAGAAACAGACCTCTCTGGACAGACTTTTTGTGCAACAGGGGTCCAGTGACTCAAGCTGGTCCTAGTGCCAGTAGAAGACAAAGAAGGGAAATAACCCCAGATAGGGCCTCGATACCTGAATTCCTTATGGATGGGAATTCCCTTTCCAAACAATAACCTCTCCTCCTCCCTCTCCCCTCTTCCATATGCCAACGAGTGTCTTTGATAAAGGTAAAGGTGATGTTAAATGTTCAGTTATCCATTTTATTAGTCATATTTATTCATTGTTTTCTATATGTAAAACTATAGTTCTCCATAAAATGTATTTTTTGTTAATATTTTTGGGGGTCTGGAACGGATTGATTAGATTGACATTATTTCTTATGGGAAATATTGCTTCAGTTTTCGTACGATTTGGTTTTCGTCAGACTTTTTCAAACGGATTAATCACGAAAACTGAGCTTCCACTGTAGGTCTACTGTCTTCATATTACGTCCTAGAACTTATATTGATAAAGCCACTAGATGGCAAAACGTCTACAATAAAGATATCCAGATGTTCCATGTGTCTTAATTTCATCTTGTAGGTATTGTATACCATTATTGTACATTATCATTATTGATCACTTTGAAGGTTTCTAGATGCCAGTGAGGGGGATGGGGCTCTCTATCAAAGATATTGGACATACCCATCTCTTCCTTGGATCATACTTAATTGCCTCTCATTGCTCTAGGTTTTGTATGACCCCCTACAGGTTCAGAACTAACCCCATTATCCAAATAATACGGATGTTCACTCATTGAGGGAGTTTCCTTAACAATAAAGGGACTCTATCATAACTAAATGCTAAACCCACAAGGGTCACACAGTGCTGTCCAAAGAATTGAGCCTCTTCTCTCCTTCCTTAGATTGAACCTGACTGCCTCTCATTTCCAAGGTGATATATGACCCATACAGGTTTACCACTTTTCCCTAAACAGTATAATAATGATATATGACTTGTGCATGCTAAACACTTCCTCATACATAAAAATAATACTGACATTCTTAGGTGCACTGGGTGGGATTCTGCCCTCGAGTAAAGAAAGATACTTATACCTTCACATATCAGGAAATTAATTACTGATGCCTTGGTCCCAACTGGTTTGGACTTCTCTCACCAGAGTGGCTGTGGCCTGGAAGTTGAGCATGTCTCTAGAGCTGCACACCACATTACTTTGGTGGGTGGAGAGAGGAAAAAAAGTGGCCACACTGAATCAATCGGCTAGTCATCTATTCTAAAGGAATTTAATGCTTTTTGTGAATATTAAATATTGAAAAAATAACTTGGTGGGAGACGGCCGACTTGTTGAAAAAAAAAAAAAATATGGAATGAAATTACAGGGCACAAGTGCTTGAATTCACGAATTATAAGAATGAAAAGGGGTCAAGCAGCTCAGATACATGGGATTAAAACAAATGTTAAGAGCAGATGGGAATATAGTTTTGGAGTAGTGTTACTTAATATATGCATGAAAGCATGTCTTATTTTTACAGCAAAAACAGCATAAAAGAAGAAGGTACTTCAAGATGGTAGAGAGCATGCATAGTTCCTTTGTATAAAATATAGATGGAATAAGGGTAAGATTTATAGAATAAGCCCATCATTATACTACGGAAAGTATATGGTAGAATTACTGGAAATATTAAGGGTAAGATAAATTAGATTGCAGAGAAAAAAGGTTTTAGGAAGGGTAGAGATGTATAAATCAAGTGCCTACATTGAATCATATAAGTGAACAATACTTGACCCGTAAACGGTCCAAACGTATATATACGTTCTTACCGCTAGTGCCCCAACATAAATATACGTTTTATTTTTCCTGCCTCCAAATTTGGCACGATTGGCCTGAGATGCCTGGTCAGCATAGAATGGATCTTAACACTCCATGTGCACCATATTAAAAAAATTTGGGACCACTTAGTACCTTGTGGGAGTGCCAGCAAGAGCAAACAGTGGGGCAAACACCAAGGATTCACTGATGTAATGTCATATTAACACTCCCCTTTTAAGAGGAAAGTGATGTTAACCCCAAGTTTAGGGTCTGTCTATCTGTCTATCTCTGTCTCACAGATACACACAAATACAATTATACATAGTGTAAATTACCTAGGATAACCTAAAAAATCCAACGTGCTATACTGTGCTTGTAGCTATAATGCATAACAAAAATTATATAAAATAATAATAAAATGAGAAAAAATGGTATATTGGCAACACTTCTGCAAGCGGCAGGACTCTATGTTGCCGTCAGGTGAGCATTAAGTGCCAACTTTGCAGCCTCATATTTCAGTAAGTACTGACCCTATTTTTTTTTATTTTAATCCTATAATACTTAGAAAAATGTGCTCTTTATTTTCATTAAAAAATAATTTTTTTTATTTTTCAAAATATTCGGGGCACTGGGGTAGTGAACGTATATATGTGTATACGTTTGAACCGTTTACGGGTTAAAGGTAAAAAATTTTGTTGCATTTATGGAGTTAGACAAGACCTATGATAGGATTGGAGAGGAAATCAATGTGACAGATGTGGCAAGTGTATGAAATAGGCAGTAAAAGTAGGCCTTACAGATGTGTGATGTCACTGTGGTTAAACATTTATAGATGGGGTTGCAAAGGTAAATGCAAGGGGGTCCAGGAAAGATGTGATTCAAGGGTAACAAATTAGATACAAAGTGGAAGTTGTCACAGTTACATACTCTCTTACTGAAGACACGGTTCTTTTTGAGAGATTCTGAATAGATGCTGCAAAGGATGGTGCATGAAATTTGGAGGGAATGTAAAAGAAAATTAAAAGTGAACATAGGAAAGAGCAACACAATGAGAGTAACAACAAAAATCTAGGCAGACGTGTATATGAAAGAGGATGTGAACCAATGAACAAGCGGATGGGGGAAAGAGAAGATAGGTAGTGTGTTCAAGGCATTAATCTTGGGGTTAAAAGGATTGGTGATTGTCCCAGGAAGGGTTGACAGGAGGGGGTAAGATTTTGAGTGCTACAGGTTTGAACATCTAACAGGTTCATGTGAACCTGTCAGATCAGAGTGAGTAGAGGCTAGTGGTTTATATGACTTACCTTGGAGTGTGAGCAAAGTAATGTTAATGGCTAAGTGAATGAGCTTCCTCGTTTTTGGGTCAAACTATTTCGGTGGAAGACTGCTAAACACCTTTTCTATTTTTTACCTTGCCCATTTGCTGCCACAGCAGGGTGACCCGAAGAAGGGCACAGTTGCTATTATTCATTCAACCACTATTATTGTCAGAAGTGTGCTGGCATCATAATTCAAATTACCCTCCGAGTGCAACATCACCCATCCTTCAGAGTGCGGGCACTCTCCTTCCCATCTCCAAGGCTCAAGTTCAGCAAACTGGCTTCCCTGAATCTCTTCATAAATGTTACCTTGCTCATACTCCAACAGCATGTCCATTAAAAACTAATTATCTCCATTCATGCCTAACATTAAAACTATCATCACATTGTATTTAATAAGAAAATGGTTTCTAGGTTATATGTATAAAAATATACATACATTATATGAACTATATATAGCCATGCAATAAAAAACTTTCAACCTAGACATTAATTCCCTTATATTATTTCCAACTAGACATTACATTATTCTGAAATCTTCCTACATTCATATTTTACAATATGTTGATATTAACCTCTGAATAAGTGAATACTGTTGAATCAAAGAGCATGGTGCAAGGAAGTATTTTAATATCAACTAAAATATTCATCTTTCTAATTTTTTCTAAAGAAAAAAAAATACAGGAGGCTCCCAACTTACAAGCAACCCATTACAAGTAAGAAACTTAGCAACCAATTAAAATTTTACAGCTCAAGAGCTGGTGTATGAACATATTTTTATACTCTGAAAAACCAAGGAACACAATTTTTTTTTTTTTTTTAAGTTCAGGGGCCTCCTGATATCCATAATTTAACTTCCTACCCATGTAAGATACAGTCTCTTGCTACTGGCTGATGCAGCCTCAGACTAACTAATGAAATATATCTCAGTAAATTATGCAGCTAATGTGATTACATTGTTAACACTTCCCTAAGTGAATTTGTCAATACCTTCGTGCTTTAACAGCCATAATTTAATTTTCTGTCGACTCCCTCTATGATACAGACCCATGCCATTGGAGCGGACAACTCGGTGGCAGGGGACAATTATTCCATTTTGGTTTTTGCGCATGGCCGAGCCAACAGCCCTTACTGCACCTGATGAGGAATAGAGACAAAGGGCAAGAGATTAGAATTTATCAAAATGTTATTTTAGGTAGATGTCCTATCAACCATTGCCATTCCTGTAATGTGTGTGTACCTAAATACTTTGTGACCCACCCCGAAATTAACAACGAGAATGTTCATGATTTAATTACAACGCCTGCATATCCATATAAACTAATTACACTATTTATCGTCTCTTAATTTTAAATAAATGTTTATATATGTTGATATAACATTATTGTAATTGTCTATAAAAATCTGTTACAACCTTTATTATCAATAACCACTACTTACAATCACACTTATCAGTACTGTATATAGCAACTAAAAGAGCAAACACAATAGTATCCCATTTTTAACACATCAGTCATTTCCCACCAAGGTAGGTGTGACTCAAAGAAAAACACATTTTCCATCAATGATCACCCACCTATCTTTCAAGCACAGACACTGTACTACCCACCTCCAGAACTCAAATACATATAGCTGTTTTCCCTGGAATCTCTTTATAAGACATTATCTTGCTCACACTCACAGCATACTGAATGCAAAAACCACATGATTGCTCACTCCAATCTAACATCCTCTCCTATGCCTACTGGATACTCAAGCTCTTAATTCTCAAAACCTCCTTCATGCCCTCCCTTCTACCCTTTCTGGAATGTCCTCTAAATCACCTTCTGTCTATTCCAGATTTACACACCCTCTTAGTAAATCTATCTTGCTCTATCAGCTGAAGCCTCATATGCCAACTTATCATTAGAGCATATTTAAATAATATGGTGAAGGCCTGGAGTTTACCTGGAGAGAGTTCCGGGGGTCAACGCCCCCGCAGCCCGGTCTGTGACCAGGCCTCCTGGTGGATCAGAGCCTAAGTATTTCACATGTTAAAACCCTAAGAAGCAGAACAGAACAGAAAATTTATGGATTTTTCATTAATGGAGTTACAGTGGTTCATTGTACTTAAAATATTTTCCAAAAACAAAGCATCAGAAAGAACACTAGTATCAAAACCCTTCAACAGAAGGGCTCCTTGATACTGGTGAAGGACTCCTGATCTGTGGAATTGAAGCTACTCCTCCCCTACCCTGAATTAAACCTAATTACCTCTCATTAGCAGGCACTAAATGACTCCTATGAATTTAGTGCTGCACCATGAATAAAACAGACTTGTAATAATAACATTGTAACAATAGTAATTTAAAATCCAAAGGTAAACCCCTCTTAAAGATGAATAATATATATACCATAATGACAGAGATCCTAGGTAGTAGGTTGGTAGACAGCAACCACCCAGGGAGGTACTATCGTCCTGCCAAGTGAGTGTAAAACGAAAGTCTGTAATTGTTTTACATGATGGTAGGATTGCTGGTGTCTTTTTTTCTGTTTCATAAACATGCAAGATTTCAGGTACGTCTTGCTGCTACTACTTACACTTAGGTCACACTGCACATACATGTACAAGCATATATATACATACCTCTCTGGGTTTTCTTCTATTTTCTTTCTAGTTCTTGTTCTTGTCTATTTCCTCTTATCTCCATGGGGAAGTGGATCAGAATTCTTCCTCCGTAAGCCATGCGTGTTTTAAGAGGCGACTAAAATGCCAGGAGCAAGGGGCTAGTAACCCCTTCTCCTGTATATATATATATATATATATATATTTTTTTTATTAGCACACTGGCCGATTCCCATCAAGGCAGGGTGGCCTGAAAAAGAAAAACTTTCACCATCATTCACTCCATCACTGTCTTGCCAGAAGGGTGCTTTACACTACAGTTTTTAAGGACGGGTGGGAAATTTTCAGCGCGCTCTCAAGAAAAAATCGAAAAATTATGGAAATTGAGTTATTCATATAGAAAAATAGCTTAACTCTTTGGCAACACAATGGTACAAGAATCAGTGTTCTAAGACATTTCTACAAGAAATTATAGTCATTTATATCAGGTATAGTAACGGCGATGTAGGTAGCGCGTCTGTTCTCAACCCATGTATTTTTTGGAAATTTTTCCTTGTTTTTTATCGCTTTTTCTTTGCATTATTCTTTCTAATATAATAATTGATTATTTGGCATCATATAAGAGTAGGTGGAGCTTATCAGTAGAGTGCCAGCCAATCGGGAGCCATCTAAAAACACTCGGCAGTACTCCCCCTCCAGATGGTGCCAGGTGAAATCACTTCATTATTACGCTTATATCAGCTTATATATCAACTATACGGCTTATTTATCTATCAGAATTGATCTAATATGATATAATAAACACTATAAAATAACAAACAAACATGTTATATACTCTAGACTGAATAAAATAGGCCATAATATGGCGAGAGTCCACCAGCAATATTTCGATATAAATGAGTTACTCCTCGTCTCCTTGTTGTATTGTTTGGTCTGTGAGTGATAGAAAACGGTATTTTGAAGAGGATAACTGCACTAGAACATCAGTTTACTTAGAAAACCACTGAAACAAACGCGATTTTCGTGAAAAAAAAAAATTGAGACGGCGGGCCGGCCAGCGTTCCAGGCCTATATCTCGGAAGTAACTTTTTCACTTATTTCGCTGACCTACACCATTATTAATGATTGTATTGAAATGATTTTCACAGACAATATAAAACAAACTGTGTTTGACTATTTGGTGCTTCTTTTTTTGGAATATATCAAATATTTTTTATTTTGTGGGAGGTAAAAGGCAGATATTTTGGTGAATGTCAAAAAGTCTATCAAATGTATTTTTTTTTTCCATGATAATAAGATATATTAGATGAAACATGTGCATCCAAAATTCGTGTCAGACGTATTCTAACGGTTGGGATTGTCGGAAGTGCCACTCGTAGTGCCATTTTGTCATTCTTGCTGCCATACATGAAAAGTCATTAAATATTTTTTTCTCTGTTGTTTGTTGGCCAATCATACTGAAACTTTGTCACATTCTTCTACATATGAACCTCTAAACATACACCAAAAATAAAAAAAACTTGGTTGAAAAATAAAAAGTTGGCCGAAATTTTGACCTCCAACCTTAAACTGCAACATTAATACCCCTCCTTCAGAGTGCAGGCACTGTACTTCCCATCTCCAGGACTCAAGTCCGGCCTGCTGGTTTCCCTGAATCCCTTCATGAATATTACTTTGCTCACACTTCAACAGCACGTCAAGTATTAAAAACCATTTGTCTCCATCCACTCCTATCAAACACGCTCATGCATGCCCGCTGGAAGTCCAAGCCCCTTGCACACAAAACCTCCTTTACCCCCTCCCTCCAACCTTTTCTAGGCCATCCCCTACCCCGCCTTCCTTCCACTACAGACTGATACACTCTTGAAGTCATTCTGTTTCGCTCCATTCTCTCTACATGTCCGAACTACCTCAACAACCCTTCCTCAGCCCTCTGGACAACAGTTTTGGCAATCCCGCACCTCCTCCTCCTAACTTCCAAACTACGAATTCTCTGCATTATATTCACACCACACATTGCCCTCAGACATGACATCTCCACTGCCTCCTGCCTTCTCCTTGCTGCAACATTCATCACCCATGCTTCACACCCATATAAGAGCGTTGGTAAAACTATACTCTCATACATTCCCCTCTTTGCCTCCAAGGACAAAGTTCTTTGTCTTCACAGACTCCTAAGTGCACTGCTCACCCTTTTCCCCTCATCAATTCTATGATTCACCTCATCTTTCATAGACCCATCCGCTGACACATCTACTCCCAAATATCTGAATACATTGACCTCCTCCGTACTCTCTCCCTCCAATCTGATATCCAATCTTTCATCACCTAATCTTTTTGTTATCCTCATAACCTTACTCTTTCCTGTATTCACTTTTAATTTTCTTCTTTTATATACCCTACCAAATTTTACTAAATGTAAAAGGAGAAACTTTCGTTTTTCCTTTTGGGCCACCCCGCCTCGGTGGGATACGGCCGGTGTGTTGAAAGAAAGAAGAATGACAGATATATAGAAAAATTGTCGCATACGTGTGCAAACTAAAACTATTACTCACCTGGATTGTTTATCCTAGCAGCTAGAGCCCCATAAGTGATGACTTCTCCTGGGCCAACAGTATCTGCAAGAGTCTTCCAAACTTGACCAAGGAATCCTGCAAAAAAAAAAAGTTGCAAAACAAAACTTAAATATACAGCAGGACCCCCCATATCTGTGGGGGATATGTTCCAGGGACCTGCTGCAGATACTGAAATGTGGATAGTAGCAAACCCTATTATAAAGTTTAATTGATAAATTATGCACAGTAAGTGGAGAATTATCACTTTTTCATTGATGGGAAGCACTTCAGGACTTCTCTTAGGCTTTGAAGAACTGCTTTGGGGCCACTATTATGCAAAATTAAGAGGTATTTTTGGGCCAAAGTAAACTGTGGATAACTGAAACCATGGATACCAAATCAGTGGATATGGGGGTTCTACTGTACTTCAAATCATCCTCAGACTTCATGTACCAATTTATCTTAAACCTTAAATTGGGCAAATGTATCTATATAGAAAGAATGGAGTTGAAGGGAATACAGAAAATCAGAGGCAGCCAAAGAATCAACAGTCTGCATTAAAGGCAGTACAAAAAAAACTGTTTCCAAAGAATAGCCACAGCAGCAATGTCAACAATGACAATATCAGCAGTGGAGATGTATATATCGGAAGTTCAAGTGATAGTGAGGGCAGTATCAGTTGCAGTGTTAGCATTAGCAGCGACAGCACAAAGTAAAGCCCATTTGTCACATTTTGTTTTAATCATGGGAAGCACTAAAAACGTAGGGGTCATATAGCACCTGGGGAATAGGAAGTACATATACAGGCTCAATCTATGAAGAGGGTAAATCCAGTTCCCTACATCAAGAGCCCCCTCACTAGCATCAAGGCAACATGAGGGGGTTTATTTGTCATAGGTCAAGCTATAAGCCATAGCAAATATCGATGAATGGGAAATGGATGTGTAATTTAGGCCAAAAGAAAGGAATGGTATGGGCATTTGAATTTAGTCTCATGAAAAGGAACCTCTAATTACTTGGATTAAGAGCCCTTCACCATGGAAATTAACACCCTTGAAGGGTGTATTCCAATGAGGTTATTTCAGCAAGACCTCCATATTTGCTCCATGTTGTAGATTTCTTCCTGTTCCTTATTCCTAAAGATTTTATTTTTTTTTTAAATATTGTTCTCAAGAGCTGAATGCAAGCTGTATAAGATTTATGCAGTGTAATTAGTTATGCATATAATACTGAAAAAATATTAAAAATAAATACATTATAGACACCATTTTTTTTTCCATGCAAACTACTCCTTGAAACAAAAAACTCACCAAGGTTTGCGAGCTTGAAGCAGCATATATCTGGTCTTGACTCTTTGGTTAAAAGTTTAGGGTTCTTAAAGTATGTCTGAAGCCACTTATGACATTGCTTTATCACTTGTGACTGAGTTTTCAAGTCATCTGTGAGTAGCTGTACCTCAGTTCTGGAAGAGCAGTGTTCTTTACAAAAAGAATATTTATCATGAAACAGTCTAAAAAATATTTTCCCTCTCCATTTATTAATTAGTGTAAAGTACACAATATTGTGAAATAAACAAAAAATTAAGTTTATTATGAATTACTATAGAAAAATAACTAACTAGTATGTAAAAACAAATCAAGTAAAGTGATTATACAGTACGTATTTAAAAAAAAAGTGATACACAACAAAATATAAACAATAATGACATGCATATGATTAAATTGCAATAAAATACTAAAGAAAATAAATATTAAAACCATTAAAAAAGCAAACTATTACTAGTAAGTCTTATTAACCTGTAAGATGGCATTTATCTTTACTCTGAAGGCCTGATCAGAAACTAGATACCAGGATGATGAGCCTCAGAACCATTAACAGATAACAAAACAGATATACAGTATAGTAATATGTCAAAAAACTAAGGAGAGAAGGGCAAAATAAGCTTGCATCAAATGCAGTACAGACATGATTTAATGATTTTGTTTCATTATTACCAGATGCACAGCACTGTACAGATACACAAATAACTTGCGCATAGGAGACACGCTAACGATGACATTTCAGTCCAACTTGTACCATTTACAAAGTCACACTAACACAAAAGAGAGAGGAGCCAGTATACATAGGCGAGCTGGACAGGAATGGGACCAAGAGAGAAAAGAAAAGTAGTAGTGGTAGTGGAAAGGCTGGTAGTAGAAGTGGAAGTAGTAGTAGTAGTACTAGTAGTAGTAGTACTAGTACTAGCAGTACTAGTAGCACTAGTAGCAGTAGTACTAGTAGTAGTAGTACTAGTAGCAGTACTACTAGTAGTAGTACTAGTAGCAGCAGTACTAGTAGAGAGAGTAGTTTTAGTGGGACCAGAGATAGAAAGGGGAGTGAAGGGTGAAGGGAGGCAATAGTAATTGTAGTAATAATAGTCACTGAAAAGTCGTCGCTAGTTACTCTCTCCTATGTGTGGGTTATGTGTATTGTTCCAATCACAGTATGGTGCCTTTTTGTTCTTCACTGAATAGATACCTTTTGCTCAACACTTGAATACTAATAGCAGGCAGTTTTTTTACACAGTGGTACTCTGCCCAGGACAAGACAGAGTAAACCAATGATATCAGGAGATGGAAGGGATAACAAAGAGTATATAAGAAATACTTTATGATGGTCAACAACAGTTTATTGGAGGGAAATGCAAGAAGTTAGATATGATGGTTCCATCTACTGGTACATTCTGGAAAAGGCAAGTAAGGCAAATATGGAAGAAGTGTTATTAGAACACAAAAATAATTACCCAGTAAGGAGGCTCTGTGATAATGTTTGGGCAAGGCTGCCTGCAAGCTTCTGTCTTAAAAATGCACTTTTATCCTTGATTTATGTTCTGAGAGTAGTAAGACTCTCGAAGCTCATCAAAGGTACTAGTTATCGCTAAAGTAAATATTTTAGACTTGTAAGACATTTACTCTATTGTATGCAGTATTATCAAAATCACAACTATGCGCTAAACAAATAAGTCCCTAGACCTATTATGTACCTCTGTAATCCTTTGACTACTGCCCACAAGATGGGTAAGGGTTGCATAATAAAGATATTAAACTAAAAAATGTAATACAGCACTGAATGTATGCAGAGGTAATACTTAGATAAAGAAGACATAAATTAATACAGTATATATACAAATAGAATACCTTTCATTAGGTGAAAAATTTTCATCATTTATGCTGCCATCAAGCTGGAGTGAGTGAAGGCCAGCAGCACAAGCTGTAATATTGATGTAGCCAAGAGGAGAAGAGAAACAGTATTCTGTGCCTGGCAATCCACAGGAGCCTTGTTTCTCTTTGTTTATGCATTTTGCTGACATCTATTACAAGAAAGCTGAATAAATTAGTGTGCTGAATACTATACTGTAAAAAAAATATCAAATTAAAGTACTCTACATATTGGTACATATTTCAATTTGTTATAATGATGAGATGAGTTTGATGAGGCAAAATACTGTGCAACTGATTGGGACTAGATAAGAGAGATACACTGATCATTTGTTATTATTACAACCCATGAATTCAGAGGGCTGTTATCCTGGGTGTAAAGGGAGCAAAATAAACACAGCAGAAAAACTTTTGACTTATATTATCCTTCAACAAGTAAGAACAGAATTATGTATGTACACTATATACACTACGTACAACAATAGGTATCTGTGCACTCCACGGTAAGCAAGACAGAATAAAAGCCACCAGAGAGCAGACCGTGCTTCAACCAGCTCTAGAATGGGAATGACAAGGGCAGACAGGTGCGTGGTACCCACAACACCTCTGCGATAGCCAAAACCATCTCATTGGCAGGAACCTGGGTACTGATCGAACAATGGAGCCCCATCGTCAACCCTTAGCACCTGGTTTGCTGGTTGGGGGAGATAGCCTTTCAATGAGGGTGTGTACATGCGCCGAATAAAGGGTATGTACTCTTTGCATGCCACAATTATTATTTTTATATTCACACAAAAACTGGGAAATTGTCTGATTTAAGCTCATGGTTTTCAAGTATGGATACCACGTGGAAATAAATCATACTGCTTGACTACACTGAGTTATCCTAATAATAATAATAATAATAATAATAATAATAATAATAATAATTTTTATTTCAGCATGATACATGTTTGTACAAAGGAGTATAACAATTCAGTGGAAATGCCAAAAGCCCCTTCATATGCAGAGCATTTCAGGCAAACTTAAGACTAACTTAAGATTAATAAGGCAATAACAGTGCAAAATTGTAAATATGGTTATTAGGTGAATTACAATGAATACAAGAAAACTGAATACATGTATTCTATTAGTTAAAGCTTGTGTGCTTTAATGTTCATGAAGCACTCTTTGACTGCAGAAATTGGTGCTACCCCTCTTCCTGGTATTAAACATAATTACCTCCACTGGTGTCCCAGGCCCCCAATAGAAATAAGTTACTCTGACCTTGGTCTTGTCAACCACCACCAACCTTGGTCTTGTCAACCACCACCAACCTTGGTCTTGTCAACCACCACCAACCTTGGTCTTGTCAACCAACACCAACCTTGGTCTTGTCAACCAACACCAACCTTGGTCTTGTCAACAACCACCAACCTTGGTCTTGTCAACAACCACCAACCTTGGTCTTGTCAACAACCACCAACCTTGGTCTTGTCAACAACCACCAACCTTGGTCTTGTCAACCAACACCAACCTTGGTCTTGTCAACCACCACCAACCTTGGTCTTGTCAACCACCACCAACCTTGGTCTTGTCAACAACCACCAACCGTGGTCTTGTCAACCACCACCAACCTTGGTCTTGTCAACAACCACCAACCTTGGACTTGTCAACCAACACCAACCTTGGTCTTGTCAACCAACACCAACCTTGGTCTTGTCAACCACCACCAACCTTGGTCTTGTCAACCAACACCAACCTTGGTCTTGTCAACCAACACCAGCCTTGGTCTTGTCAACCACCACCAACCTTGGTCTTGTCAACCACCACCAACCTTGGTCTTGTCAACCACCACCAACCTTGGTCTTGTCAACCACCACCAACCTTGGTCTTGTCAACCACCACCAACCTTGGTCTTGTCAACCACCACCAACCTTGGTCGTCAACCACCACCAACCTTGGTCTTGTCAACCACCACCAACCTTGGTCTTGTCAACCAACACCAACCTTGGTCTTGTCAACCACACCACCTTGCTTGTCAACCACCACCAACCTTGGTCTTGTCAACCACCACCAACCTTGGTCTTGTCAACCACCACCAACCTTGGTCTTGTCAACCACCACCAACCTTGGTCTTGTCAACCACCACCAACCTTGGTCTTGTCAACCACCACCAACCTTGGTCTTCTCAACCACCACCATCCTTGGTCTTGTCAACCACCACCAACCTTGGTCTTGTCAACCAACACCAACCTTGGTCTTGTCAACCAACACCAACCTTGGTCTTGTCAACTACCACCAACCTTGGTCTTGTCAACCACCACCAACCTTGGTCTTGTCAACCACCAACCTTGGTCTTGTCAACCACCAACCTTGGTCGTCTTGTCAACCACCACCAACCTTGGTCTTGTCAACCACCACCAACCTTGGTCTTGTCAACCACCACCAACCATGGTCTTGTCAACCACCACCAACCTTGGTCTTGTCAACCACCACCAACCTTGGTCTTGTCAACCACCACCAACCTTGGTCTTGTCAACCACCACCAACCTTGGTCTTGTCAACCACCATCAACCTTGGTCTTGTCAACCACCACCAACCTTGGTCTTGTCAACCACCACCAACCTTGGTCTTGTCAACCACCACCAACCTTGGTCTTGTCAACCAACACCAACCTTGGTCTTGTCAACCACCACCAACCTTGGTCTTGTCAACCACCACCAACCTTGGTCTTGTCAACCACCACCAACCTTGGTCTTGTCAACCACCATCAACCTTGGTCTTGTCAACCACCACCAACCTTGGTCTTGTCAACCACCATCAACCTTGGTCTTGTCAACCACCACCAACCTTGGTCTTGTCAACCACCATCAACCTTGGTCTTGTCAACCCCACCAACCTTGGTCTTGTCAACCACCACCAACCTTGGTCTTATCAACCACCATCAACCTTGGTCTTGTCAACCACCATCAACCTTGGTCTTGTCAACCACCATCAACCTTGGTCTTGTCAACCACCACCAACCTTGGTCTTGTCAACCACCACCAACCTTGGTCTTGTCAACCACCATCAACCTTGGTCTTGTCAACCACCACCATCCTTGGTCTTGTCAACCACCACCAACCTTGGTCTTGTCAACCACCACCAACCTTGGTCTTGTCAACCACCACCAACCTTGGTCTTGTCAACCACCACCAACCTTGGTCTTGTCAACCACCACCAACCTTGGTCTTGTCAACCACCACCAACCTTGGTCTTGTCAACCACCATCAACCTTGGTCTTGTCAACCACCACCAACCTTGGTCTTGTCAACCAACACCAACCTTGGTCTTGTCAACCACCACCAACCTTGGTCTTGTCAACCAACACCAACCTTGGTCTTGTCAACCACCACCAACCTTGGTCTTGTCAACCAACACCAACCTTGGTCTTGTCAACCACCACCAACCTTGGTCTTGTCAACCAACACCAACCTTGGTCTTGTCAACCACCATCAACCTTGGTCTTGTCAACCACCACCAACCTTGGTCTTGTCAACCAACACCAACCTTGGTCTTGTCAACCACCACCAACCTTGGTCTTGTCAACCACCATCAACCTTGGTCTTGTCAACCACCATCAACCTTGGTCTTGTCAACCACCACCAACCTTGGTCTTGTCAACCACCACCAACCTTGGTCTTGTCAACCACCATCAACCTTGGTCTTGTCAACCACCACCATCCTTGGTCTTGTCAACCACCACCAACCTTGGTCTTGTCAACCACCACCAACCTTGGTCTTGTCAACCACCACCAACCTTGGTCTTGTCAACCACCACCAACCTTGGTCTTGTCAACCACCACCAACCTTGGTCTTGTCAACCACCACCAACCTTGGTCTTGTCAACCAACACCAACCTTGGTCTTGTCAACCAACACCAACCTTGGTCTTGTCAACCACCACCAACCTTGGTCTTGTCAACCAACACCAACCTTGGTCTTGTCAACCACCACCAACCTTGGTCTTGTCAACCAACACCAACCTTGGTCTTGTCAACCACCATCAACCTTGGTCTTGTCAACCACCACCAACCTTGGTCTTGTCAACCAACACCAACCTTGGTCTTGTCAACCACCACCAACCTTGGTCTTGTCAACCACCATCAACCTTGGTCTTGTCAACCACCATCAACCTTGGTCTTGTCAACCACCACCAACCTTGGTCTTGTCAACCACCACCAACCTTGGTCTTGTCAACCACCATCAACCTTGGTCTTGTCAACCACCACCATCCTTGGTCTTGTCAACCACCACCAACCTTGGTCTTGTCAACCACCACCAACCTTGGTCTTGTCAACCACCACCAACCTTGGTCTTGTCAACCACCACCAACCTTGGTCTTGTCAACCACCAACCTTGGTCTTGTCAACCACCAACCTTGGTCTTGTCAACCACCACCAACCTTGGTCTTGTCAACCAACACCAACCTTGGTCTTGTCAACCACCACCAACCTTGGTCTTGTCAACCACCACCAACCTTGGTCTTGTCAACAACCACCAACCGTGGTCTTGTCAACCAACCACCAACCTTGGTCTTGTCAACAACCACCAACCTTGGACTTGTCAACCAACACCAACCTTGGTCTTGTCAACCACACCAACCTTGGTCTTGTCAACCACCACCAACCTTGGTCTTGTCAACCAACACCAACCTTGGTCTTGTCAACCAACACCAGCCTTGGTCTTGTCAACCACCACCAACCTTGGTCTTGTCAACCACCACCAACCTTGGTCTTGTCAACCACCACCAACCTTGGTCTTGTCAACCACCACCAACCTTGGTCTTGTCAACCACCACCAACCTTGGTCTTGTCAACCACCACCAACCTTGGTCGTCAACCACCACCAACCTTGGTCTGTCAACCACCACCATACCTTTGGTCTTGTCAACCAACACCAACCTTGGTCTTGTCAACCACCACCAACCTTGGACTTGTCAACCACCACCAACCTTGGTCTTGTCAACCACACCAACCTTGGTCTTGTCAACCACCACCAACCTTAGGTCTTGTCAACCACCCCAACCTTGGTCTTGTCAACCACCACCAAACCTTGGTCTGTCAACCACCACCATACCTTGGTCCTTCTCAACCACCACCATCCTTGGTTTGTCAACCACCACAACCTTGTCTTGTCAACCAACACCAACCTTGGTCTTGTCAACCACCCAACCTTGGTCTTGTCAACCAACACAACCTTGGTTCTTGTCAACTACCACCAACCTTGGGTCTTGTCAACCACACCAACCTTGGTCTTGTCACCACCAACTTGGTCTTGTCAACCACAACCTTGTCTTGTCAACCACCACCAACCTTGGTCTTGTTCAACCCCACCAACCTATGGTCTTGTAACCACCACCAACCATGGTTTGTCAACACACCAACCTTGGTCTTGTCAACCACCACCAACCTTGGTCTTGTCAACCGCCACAACCTTGGTACTTGTCAAACCACCCCAACCTTGGTCTTGTCAACCACCAACCTTGGTCTTGTCAACCACCACCAACTTGGTCTTGTCAACCACCACCAACCTTGGTCTTGTCAACACCACCAACCTTGGCTTGTCAACCAACACCAACC